CACCTGTGAGGCCAGACAACATGTAAAGGTCTTTGCTGATAGTCCCGTCCACTCAAGATATTACAGAGGTTAAAAGTCAGATGTTGCTTATCTTCTTCTTGACAAGGATTTGTACTTTCTGATGCTTCAGACTTGTTCAATCTCGCCGGTGCTGGTGATGGGGAAGGCAGCCCCTCCTGCTGTGTGGTACAAAGTCCAGGCTGGGCTTCACAAAGTCCAGACTCACGATGAGCGTTGCTGTTTTTCATTAAACCTCCCAAAGCTTTGCTCTTCTGCTGGCCAGGGAGACCCTCCAATTGATAAGCATCTCCATTTCTTTTAACACCAATTACCTGTTCCAAATGGGCAAGTTTATGTTCTGGCATGAATCTGTTAGGAAAAAGAGACAGAAAAAAAAAAAAAATCTATATTGTGTTTTATGCTGCATTTCAGTTTCACTTGGTAACTGTTAATTAATTAATAGCAAATGAGAAGACAAAATGTGGTTGATATTTTACTTTTATCCAAGCAAAATCTCCACCAGCATTCAGTAAGTGACACACTTTACATATAATTTTAGTGAATATGGTACCTGTGAAATAAAATAACCTATATTTTACATTTATCCAAGCAAGAACTCCACCAGTATTCAGTAAATGACACGTTACATATAATTTCAGTGAATACAGTACCTGTGAAATAAAATAACCTATGGTTCACTGGCTGAGAAGCCAAAGGTCCCCACTGAACCACATCGTCACTAACAGCACACGCATCAACAGGGAGAACAAAACTACTTGTCTGCTAAAATAAAAGGAAGCAAACATCTCTGGGAAGTAAAAAGGCAATTCTGCCAGAAAAGTCTTGGCATTTTTGCCAGGAGCATGGCTAAGATTGCTACTAAATGCCAAATGCAGGAGGTTTAATCAAATGTGAGTCCTGTCTACGTCTGCACTAAGCCCAGCAAGTCGCTTCATCAGAGGTAAATGAAAGGTAACGCAGGAAGATGGTTTGCTGCTTAAAAACATGGGCCAATTATGTACCATGACATGGAAGTGGATCTTCTTATCCAGCTACCCATGCCTGATTTCTACAAAAACCATCTGGAAAAAAAATTAATCACAAATCAGAAAAAAAACTCCATGACTAGAAGAAAAGGATTGAGTTGTACATCCATTCACAGGAATAAAGCAACCCCCTTGTATTTTCACAGGTGTGAGCAATGAATGCTAAGATGGGGAAACTGAGGCACAGCTGCTCATGACCTTCCTGAGGTACCACAGACAATATGAGACACCACTGGCTCTTCCACCTGACTTTCAGACTTTTGTTCACATAGCAGAAAACCCTTCCCAATAGCAGGATGCCTTTGCACAGTTAATATTGAGGCCACTGAACTAATTTTTGTAATATATGAAATGCAACATTTCTATGTAGATCTAGTTTTACCATTTGATTTAAAGTAGTAATGAATTATGGTCCTTGCCCAGGAAACATTCAAGTGAAGCCCCTTCATTCAAAGATGACTCTTCTAAACTAAGACTTAAGAGAATGACGTGCACAGCCACCACTAAACGTCTGCCTGTACCTCAAGTTAATTTACCCAAATTTTATCTACTTACATGCCTTTCAGTGTGATTATGGTTCTCCCAGATAAGTAGAGACATTTAAATTTTCCGTTTCCTTTTAATTTCCAAATGTTTACACACTAGAGCCTGTTTATTGAACTGTTTACTAAAGCCAACACTTGCTCCACTTTATCAGCCTCCTCCACAGTTCTTCAGAGTTTTACTCCATCACAGCTCATTTCTGGGCTATGAACAAACTGCTCCCTTCTCTCTTTGTCAAAACAAATATCCCTAAACAGCAGAATCGTCCACTTCACCCTGCAATGGAGCACTTTTAAATGCAAACAGACCTTTCTTCTTCAAAATCACTACCAAAATACAAAAACGCACACACTACATGAGCTTTACTGCAGTTGCACTCTTGACTAATTGCTTTGAGGATTTTTTTTTCAAACCCCTAAATCTCCTTTCCTAAGTCAGTCACTGCATAACTACTCCATGTAGCGTGTATTCTTTGATTTGGCTTGCCATCCCTTGCCATATTATTTTCATGTTTCTCTCCATTTTCAAGCCACTGGCCAAATCACCTAAGAGATCTACCTTTTTTCCACTCTTCACCATCACTTGTTGGAGCTTCTCTGTAGATACAACCAGAAAAAGTTCAATCACATTCAACAGCCTCATCCACATCCATTACCTACGTTACAAACAAGCCTGGGTTAAACCATTCCCATCTCAGCGACTTAGCCACTTTCAGACTCTCAGAGCATAAAAATATAAATTCAGTGTGTCTGAATTCCATACATATATGTTCTTAACAGTTAAATCATCATTTTGACAGTCAAAGTTGAATTATAGATCTAAACCTGGCTGGTGGTGGCTCCTCTGCAGTACGGATACATCCCCGTAAGGATATATTTACACATGGGAAAAGCTGAAGGAGAAATAAGTTAAGGGATTTGCTCTAAACCACCAAGTCTGTGACTAAATTGAGAGGACTGATTTAGCAAACCAAATTTAACTAACAGATTTTGAACAATCATTGCTGTTAAGAAGAATTACTTGACGTGTGAGAGGTCGGACTACCTCAGCAGGCTCTATCCCCCTGCCTGTCTTTAATCTCTTGGCCAATCATCCATTCAACACACCATTTCTATTTCTGAAGAGGTTTTCTTCTTAGTTTTCTTTCTTCTTCAACACAAATTCCATCTACTTTATAAATCTGATCTGTCATTGCAGAATTTCTAATAATATGAGATAAAACTCCACCGATCTCTCTCTGGAATAAACTATTTAATATCTTTTATTTAAGACATGTGTGTGCAATCAATTCTGTGGTATTTACTTGTACTACACAGACAGTATTCATCATCTTGACAATTTTTTTAAAGTTTTAGAACACCATTTCACTTAACAGTTAAAAAAAAAAAAAAGATTTATTTGATGGTTAACTTTGGAACAAGTTATCTGCATTAACTTCCATTGTTTTGGCATAAAGTAGTTCTGTATATTTTACTAACAACAGTGGAGACATGATAAAGGATGTAGGCAGAGAGCCATAAACAGCTCTCGCTGCAACCCACAGTGTTCGTGTAAAAGCATTAATTTTTTAGACTTTGATTGGAAGACTTCTCTGTGCTCAGCCACCGGGATTTTACTAAAGACAACCATGTATAAAATGTTGTACCTGAATATAACAATTTTAACTGTGCAAAGGCCATTGTAAATCATATGTAGTATAAACTTGTCCACATGATTGGAATGATATAATGGATATTGTAGTCCCTAACCACCAGCTAATGTTCTTTATGACACTTAAATAAATGACCTGAAAATAAACTAATAACAACATGAAATCTTCGAAACCTGTTCATGTGCATTTCCCAAATGCATGCTGGAGAAAGACAATGTCTAGTTAGCACATTTTTTGTGTTTACATTTTCTCCAGAACATTTTTGCTCCAGCTATTCTGTTTTTCCTCCTCCAAACTCACATTAATTCTTCCTTTCTGTCACCTTCCAGACAGAGTCATCTCTCCATCCAATACCTGTCCAGATCTCCGTCATGTATAAACATCAAGAGCTTGCAGGATTTCTACACCACCATCCAGAAGTCTATAACCCAGAGAAAAAACAAGTGCTCCAGTGTTTTATTTGGAGCTAGTATTTACTTCCACAAAGATCAGCAGAATTCTTAAAATCCTTGTCTAAATTTCAAAAGATACAACCTCAGAGAGGCTGGATATGGAATAGAAGCTGGGATAGGAGCAGACATAGGCTTAAAAGACTAGATATAAAGGAAGAAATTTTGATGCTGAGGGTGGTGAAACACTGGCACAGGTTGCCCAGAGAGGTGGTAGAAGCCCCATCCCTGGAAACATTCCAGGTGAGGTTGGACGGAGCTCTGAGCAACCTGATCTGGTTGAAGATGTCCCTGCTCACCGCAGGGGGGTTGGACTAAATGGCCTTGAAAGGTCCCTTCCAACCCAAACCATTCCATGATTCTAAAAAACAAGCCAGAGAGCTACAAGAGCAGATAGGCGGGATTTAGTTATCGAGAAGGTTGCATCATTTTTCTCAACCTTAATTACAAGTCACGCAAGAAAAATGCCATGGTGTTCTATTTTTAATATGGGAAAAGAATTGTACCGTTATTATTAAGGTGTGGTAGTGAAATCTTGAACACGTGAAACTTTCGAAAAAACCAATTATCACCAAAGCATACAAATATTAACACTTTAAAGAGATTCCACAAGGTACTGTCCCTTACATTTAAAAAACCATAGAAAATGTTTTACTTCTATGCATAACATACATATTTTAACACTGAAAGTTCAGAACAAACAGTGAGAAGCTTAGATATTTAATTTTAGTATCACGACTTGTTTTCAAAACTTTCAAAATCATTTTCCTTTTATTTATTCATTCAGATTTTTGAGGATCTCTGACACATTGAACAGTCAATTTTAAAACTTTATGAAGACTTTAAAAAGAGTAAGCCTTGAAAATTTTCCCTTTTGCATACTGGGTATAGATGTTTAGTTAAAAAGATGGGTTAAAAATTAAACTAAGTTCATATATAATAAAAATTCCATCTACTAAAAGTCAGAGTTTCAATTTAAATATTTTCCATTTTGAATAATACGGGTTTTTTTAACTCTCTGACCTATTTATTATATATTTTCTTTTTATTTATGCCATGAAATCCCACTCTGAGGAAACCCATGTACTTCTTGAAGCAGACATGTGCGTCCTCCCCATCTCTTTCGTAGCATGTTTCCATGTTACATAGTATTTATTTACTCATGGCACTTTATTTTCTTTAATGTAAAATCACTTATAGGAATTGTTTTCTTTTTCATGGCACCAAGAGTCACTTTATGCATCATTTTATTAAAAATAATAACAAAAAAAGGATGGAAGGGCCATGATGTCACTGCTCGATGAATAGAAACTACATTAGAAAGACTAACTGGAGTGCTGGTTTAGGTTAGATCAAATTGGTTTGAGTAGTTGTTCTCAATGAGTAAGGATAATTTCTAAGAGTGGATATAAGCTAAATAAATAAATAAATAAATAAATACATACATACATAAAAATTGGCCCTCCTGTAATTGTAGTTACATTTGAAAGCAAAGTTAACGATTGTTCTGAAAAACTGGATTATTATTATTATTATATAATTATTGTTATCATATTATTAAATTACTGTTAAAAAGTTTAAAAATAATAAAAGGACATAGTCATAATCATAGCTATTAGAAACCTTCCCCAGGCCTTGGAGCTGGAGCACACACATGTCAGAGCTGCAGCACTTCCTTCATCACTGATGCACTGTCACGGCATAACTTTCAATTTAACAAACACATTGTCTGAGAATTTCCTTTGTCTTTCTCTAAACACAATCACAAATGTCTCTTTGCTAACTGTAATATTTTTAGTAGAATTTATGTGACTTAAAGCACTAAAGAGGTTCAGGGAGAGCTTCTGTGATTCTAACACCTGGAGTCCATTTGGCTTATAATGGTTGGGATGGACAGTCATTTTGTCATTTGCTATAACTAGGAAATTCCACTTTTGCACTTCCTTTCTTTCTGCTTCCTTGAATTTATCCTCTTCCCATGCTGAATTTGTTCCCACAATTACTACAAATACATGCAAAACTATACAACCACGCACACCTATTACTGACCAAGCACTGTACAAATATCAAAGCCACATGGACATTTCTGACCTTTTTGAAAAGTCAGAATTTTGTCCACCCTATGGAGGAAAAAAAAAAGGTCATAAAAGTAGTTCTTTGAAGGCCAAACTAGAAGAGAGGGAAACTACGTTAATATATACTCGATATTTATTTTTATATTCAAATTATTTTTATATTTATATATTTTATATACAAAATTCTAGGTTTTTTTAATATCAAATGCTATGAATCACCTGATAGCAGAAAATTTGATGCATTTATATTTACCTAATTCTTGAAAGATCGCCACAAATGACAAAACTGGAAGACTAGTCTCAGTTCAGTGATTATTTTCTCTGCAACTACCGTCACATTTTGCTCTACAGCAAAAAAAAAAAAAGAGTCACTGAGTGCAGTCAGGTGTCCCAAAACTGTGCTACAGTTCAAACCTAAAAGCTCAGAAGAAGATTCCCAATATTTAGGGAATTTGCTATTAGGGTTTATTGAAGTTGTCACATATTTTCTGATCTTTAGCAATGGTTGTAATTCTTCATTCAGAAGAGGGAAGAGATTACTTGTCAGCAGTAATCTCTAACACAGATAATGCCATATAAATATTAGGGGCTTATAAGCATGGACAAGGATTAGGAGAAAAGAGACAGAACAGAAAGAAAACTGAACAGAGCCAAGATTAAGCACTGGGAAGGGCGTGGAAAAAGAAAATACAAGGTCTGCAGCTGAACTTGTCTTCCCACAGTAGAATATATATTTTCCAGGGTAGAGTAAGTAGGGTTTACACTGATTTCCCTCTCTGAAAACCTCTCAAATAAAACTCATTATTTGAGATGTGACCATTATCTTTTATCAACTATCTTCCTTCTTACATCACACATGAGAAATATAGAATAGACTCAGAGAATCGCCGAGGTCAGAAGGTCTTTGCTCCAACCTTGTGCTCAAAGTCCATCCAGTTGGACCAGGTTGCTCAGACCCACATCTAGTCAAGTTTTGACTATCATTGAGGTTAAGGATGAACATTTCACACTCAGACATTAAACGTGTGACAGACCTTGCTGCTAGCAGCTTGCAGGAGGGACTACAAGGTGAACAACAACATGGGAGAGAGCTAAAGCTGACAACAGCAGTAGGACATCTGCCTTCCTAATGTTCATATCTGGCCAGAGTGAGAGAAGTGGTTTGTAATAAATTCACTAGGGGAGGGATATCAGGAGGTCTGACTTCTTTCTGACAAACCAGCCAAAATATGGTTGTTTTGGCAACAAAGTAACTGAATGCAACAACCCTTGTCACTCCAGCAGTGTGCCTGATTAGCAGGATCTGGAGATGCTCCCTGAGAAGACAGGCTGGATCCAGACCAAGCGCAGGCTGTTGGTTTTGACTCAAGTGGTAATTTCATCTGTTGGAGTGGTGAAGGAAGATGAGACAGGCAGGAAAGGAGAGATGTCAAGAGTAAGGAGAGCAGAAGACAAACAGGATAATTCTCAGATTCCTCAAACCGTAACTTCAACTTATTTTTCAAATAATTTCTGAGCAAAATCCCTCAATATCCAGTATCCATATTTGATACTGCCAAAAATTCCCACTTTTACTTAAATTTACTTTTCCTTCCAATCTAGTTGCACTCTGAACACTTACAGTAGTTTATTCTCTTAGATGACCTATCTCTACCTCAATATAAGGAGGATGGTCCAACCAATCTCTAACCTTCCCCTCACTATTACAGTTGAATGAATTTCTTACATTAAGATTACAGCTCAAAATGCAATGTAAAGTCTACACCCTAGATGACCAGGGTTTAAGTAAAATCTCCTTCAACTCTTATTCCACCAAATACATGGAAAGGTCCTAATTTCCAAAACACATGCAAAACAGGAGCAAAAGCAGGGAAAACAACTCCAAAACAAATACAGCTCTCAAAGTCTCAGCTGCCTTGATATTGAGTCCTCTGCGCTGCCGCTCTCGTTGGACATCATTCCAGCCAAAAACATATCTAGCCTAATCCAGTACTTGTGGGATTATTCCATTTTGTTACATATTTACTCCTGACAAATGACTTCAACAATATCTTAAGCGCTTTAGGTTAGCAAAAAAAAAAATATCAAATGGTGATTACTCTGCATTTTAATACCAGAACAGAGACTTTGGATCCACTGAAGTCAAAGGCAAAGCTCTCTCTGACTTCAAGACAGACAAGAGTTTGACCTTAAATGTATTATTTCTGAATTCACATCCTCAACTCCCTGAAATCCTTTAACACTAAATGTAAGAATCTGTGCAGTTAAATTTCTAAGATCCTCATTCTCAACAAATGAAACGGTGATAATTTAAAAACTCCTCAGAAAGACGGTAATGAACTATACAATACATATTTTATAATGCAGATGACAATAACTTATGCATTATTTTGCACAAGATATGAAAACATGAATTAATTGATAGTTCATAAAAAATAAAAAGTCATTGTGTCTATAATTAAACAACACGGCTGTAGAGATCTCCTACACCAACACTGCAAGGTAACAGATACACTTCTGGAGCACTACGAGTCACCTTGATAACAACTGCCAGGAATTTAGAAATTGTTGACTTAAGTTCTGCTTCTGCAGTAGTTCAAAAGAATGAATTACACTATGGAGGAAAAAAGTTAGGCTTCTGAGAATTGCAAGGGGTTTTTTTTAAGATTCTTTAAGATCCTAAAGGATTGGTCATGTTTATTAGTGCTCACTTAAAAAGAAAAAAAAAAAAAGCAGCTCAGCTCTCGAGTGCTTATTTAGAAAATGCAAATTTCACATCTAGCTCCAAACAATACGGTATCTCTTCTTGCTAAACAGAATTGGAAGTGGGTGCTTGAAAACTGATATCA